CAGGACTTGTCTGGTAAGGTATGTATAGTCACTGGCGCGAATACTGGACTCGACAAAGAGATTATTTGGATCCTCTTTTATAAGAACGCGATTGTCTAGATAGCGGTGCACAACAAACAGGAAGGCCGTCGTGCGATCAGGTCTGTCCGCGAAGCATTTCCTTCTACGAGGGAACTGGAGCTTCTACACCTGGACCTTAGTGATTTGATCACCATCAAGAAGTCGGCTAAGACATCCCTTTCTAAGAAACGGCGCTTGGACGTCTTGTTTAACAATACTGGTGCCATGATGCCTCCTCGCGGGAGTAAGTCGGCGCAAAGGGTACGAGCTACAGACGGACCAACAACCTAAAGCCGTTTCTTTTGACACAGTTTCTCACAGCGAAATTACCCGGAGAGCAGCGTCCGCGTCATCCGAGTATCTCCCCCATCAGCCGAGCGCATGATCTCCGTAAGGGCGGCGCCGACATGGATAACCTAGATTACAAGAAGGACATTTTCTGTGTTTATAAGCACGGCGTTAGCAAGACAGGTAATTGCTATCATGCAACTGAGTACCTAACGCGCGATGGCATTCTTAGTGCCGTATGTTTTCCCCAGATATTAGACCCTATCGTGCATCGGCCAATTTGTGGCCTTAGTGGTCTTGGGGCTAGAACGCTCTGACATAATTGCAGGAATTAGATCCAGGTGCTCTTAAAACACACCTCGATTGACCGTTCAACGCGTTCGAGATGCTCTACAGGACGACTATCGTAAAAACTGTGGTTCTTGGAGCGTATACGGAATTGTTCGCTGGCCTCTCAGATAAAGCAATACTCGGACGGTTGGGCGATTGTCATAGGTTTCTTTTCCTCTACTTCTCCTATTTTCGTTGATTGTTCCCCCCTTTTCCCCCGTGGGTATATACGGAATACAAGGTGCTAACATGATCTATCTTCAGTCGTTCTATAGGGTCGGGTTGACGAGATTTAAAAGGACATGATATTTTCCATAGCTCAGGGCCCTAGTCGGATCGGGACGGGACGGAGCAGTAGGTAAAATCCTACGTGTGATTTCGATCTGAATATCCTTCGATTATTTGACGAGAGCGATGGACCAGAGATATTACATGCATTTATATGCCTGGAAAAAAAATCTGGTTAAACGCGAATCCTACCGAAGGATTTCGACGGTAGGCTAGCCAATTCACCTCAGGGGTCCAAAATCTTTTTGATGTATTACTAGAGACAGTTATCATGTCATACTCCGGATGATCAACCCCTGCTTTCCCGCCTTTGTTCTCACAAATCATAACAGGGCCCTATCAATTCCAACAGGAAGGATCTTTCAAATTTCTTAATTACCCCAAGTCTTGCAGCTAGCCAAGTTAGGCTAAGTATCACACAGGGACACATAGGGAGAGTGTTACTAGCCTAGACCCGGGACACTTGCATAGGCACCTACCTCTCCTTTCTATTATAGTAACACAAGCCTTGCTTATAAGTGGTAGGTAAGCCATGAAACATTTCACTCCCTAACCTAGATACCTATGTTATTGATGTCATTGCAAGTGCCGTGAGCCAGTATCTCCAAGTTCAGGTCTCTAGCGCCTGCTTTTAGAGGACCACGCCGATGGAGGTTATGCAGAGATCATTTCTATAAGAGTTTAGCCGGTGCTAGATGTTACATACCTACCCGACTACCTCTTTTGACATCTCGAAAGGGCGCATTGCGCTTACCCTGCACTTTTGGTATCCAATTAGTAAGATCTATAGAAACGAGCACCTTCCGTTTGTCGGCAAACCCCTATCTAAATAAACTCAGATAAATCTAGACAAAAGGAACTTGGATAAATCGACTATACCTTACATACAATTAAGGTACCGGCGCAACCGGTGCATCTTAACTAGAACCACGCACTCCTTCAAGTTTTCTTCGACCGTTAAATTGCCTTTCTCGCAATCCCAACATATAAATTAGTCAATACGTTGAGCGAGGCAATGAATTCGGATAAGGAGTGCTCCGTAGCTATTACAGCCTCACCACCGAGTGAGAATGAGACGACTCCGGTCGTAGGTCCCATCGCTGTCGCACCGCCACCCGATGGTGGTGCGGGATGGATTCAAGTCTTTGTTGGACAGTAAGAATTTATTTTGCCTTTTCCGTTATTATGGCGATAATGTTTCTAACGAATTTGCTTAAGTCTTGCCCTATTCAACACATTTGGGTGGTTCAATAGCTATGGCATCTTTCAGGACTACTACACGGAAGAGTTAAACCTGCCGCTATCAGCTGTTTCTTGGACGGGCAGCGTGCAGGTCTTCCTGTTAGCTTGCATAGGCATGTTCTCAGGTCGACTCTTTGACGCAGGTTACTTCCGCTCGTTGATCATGATCGGTTCTATTCTACAGATTCTCGCTGTATTCATGGCATCTATTGCTACCGAGTATTGGCAACTCTTCTTAGCTCAAGGCGTCTGTGGTGGGCTCGGTGCCGGCATCCTGTACTGCCCTATCATCGCATGCGTGTCTACTTATTTTGCTCGAAAGCGCGCACTTGCGATTGCCCTCGTCACAAGTGGTGGCGCTACAGGCGGACTGGTATTTCCTATCATTGCGCAGCAACTTCCAGGAGAGATAGGTTTTCCTTGGACTATGCGGATCATGGGATTTGTAGTCATGTTCAACGCATCTGTAATGTTAGCCTTTGCCCGCACGCGACTGCCACCGCGACCAAGGGGGCCAGTTGTCGAATGGGCTGCATTCAAGGAGTTGCCCTATTCACTCTATACAGCCGGCGCTTTCTGTGTCTTGTGGAGCGTGTATCTAATATATAATTACGTAAGTATCATTCTAATTTTCACATTTTTGTAGCGCTCTCAGTTATTTTTATCATAAACACAAGCTGACAAATTTGCTAGATAAATCACTACGGAAGGACAATCTTACATATGAAGTCTACAACTTCGCTTAATACGCTCTTCATCGCCAACGCAGTTGGTGTGCCAGGGCGAATAATACCAGCGCTCATCTCTGATGCGTACCTTGGCCCGTTTCGGACACTGGTGCCTCTTGCTATCAGTGCGAGCGTGCTCTATTTCGGCTGGATTGGCGTGCGGGATCCGAGCGCTCTCTATGTCTTCGCCGTTCTATCTGGTATTATTAACGGCGGTGTCCAGACTATCGCCATGGCCGGCCTACCGTCGCTCACAAAAGATCTAAGTAAAGTAGGTACCCGGTCGGGCATGATCATGACCGTTGGTTCCTTCGCTTGCCTAACAGGACCACCAATTGCCGGTGCGCTGATTGACGTTGCAGATGGGCGATACTTGTATATGCTGATATGGGCTGGTTGTATTATGCTGCTAAGTGCTTTCTTTGTTGCGGCCTCGTGGTATGCACGTTCAAAGCAGGGTTCATAGCAGCCTGTTAGGGAACACCAGCTGCATAGTTAGGACTTTTACCTTGTAGAATGTAATAAATATATCTATGCAAGTTTGCTGGCTTTGCAGGCACTCTTTAGTCTCTTATAGACCATATGTGTGCGTGCGTTACTGTTTTATAAGATAATGTATTTATCTACAAGGTTCTAGAAGTAATCAAGTATGAAGGTTAGGCACTCAAATAATGAGGAAAAGAAAAGTGCACAATATTCTCCTTAAGATATAAATATACTGCAGTTTTCCCTCCTAAGGGTAGCCTTTTAATTACCTTAGGTACTTAAGGTAGACTATAACTCTGTATTTAGTGCCAATTAAGTCAGATGGTATCCAAATAAAAGCCAGCATCGAGGTTCCCATAGGCGGTGTTTGAAGAAGATAGGAATTAGAAGGTTAAGTAGCTGGAAAAGCCCCACAAGGAAGGCCAACACCTGTCCGACATCGAATATATCATCTACACCACTGAGATTATTCGCTCTGATTACGTACTCAGTCGAGATGATAGATAATACGACCATGGCCAACGAGAGAAGCATGAGTGTAATCTCGGTTTGAGGTCGACGGGAACGATATCGTGACTTTTCCCCACCTCCTTTTTTAATGTAAGTAGTGGCAGCCCACGCAAGCAATCCGATTATAATAACAAGGCTAATGATCGAGGTTACTTTTCCGAACGTTTTAAACCAGCCATCTAGTGTGGATTTGCCGAAGAATACGATCTGCATACATGGAGTCCCTTGCATGGTGTCCTGGCCGACGAAGAAGAACCAGCAGCCGTACGTCGACAGCGCGGCGTAAAATAGGAGCCGGCAAGTTCCTGAGAAGGAGTTGATATCGGTTATGCCGCTTCCAGTCAAGCTAGATAGTGCACCTGCAAGTATCCAGAAGACGATAATGACTTCGAAGGCGTGAATAGTACCTGCGTGTGTAGAGAGAAGCGTGCCGGCGAATATGGCTAGTTGCAGGAGCAAATTGATGGTTCTGTTCACAGCTTCTTCTTCCTGTGCAAATAGTGTCACAAGTAGCGTCGTTAACGATTGGGCATAGAGACCGAGTCTGATTCCAATCCCATAGAAGTCAGTATCACCATCCATTTCGCAATTTCCGGAAGGTTCCATCATTAGGGGTAGCTTAGTGCTCTCAGATAATCTTTACTCGACTATTACCTGAATTGAAATTTTGATTTAATTTTAATGATAACCTAAGGTGTTGCAGTTTACTGCTTTTAGAGAGATGGTGTATTCTCGTAACGTAGGGAAGCAACATCACGAGGTGTGTTAGCGAACCATATCGCCTGGCAACGGGGAGAAAGGGGGGGTAAGGGGGGGTAAGAAACTCTATCAACAACCAAATATAGTTACAGCCTTAGAACTTTTAGAACGTTGCTATAAAATCACTGAGGAAGTTCTAGACTATTCTGTCTAACACCGTAACCGTTGCCTTAGCTGCACGCGAGAACATTATAATGTGGTTGGGAACCCCAAGTGATAGGTGCACAACTTAAAAAGGGGGTTGTGAAAGGCCAATTATTTGCTCCCCGAAAACAATCACCGGCATAGCTTTTGTTATATGCTATAATCATGGCGGATAATAATACAGGTTGTCCAATCCAAGGTAAACCAGACCTGTATGGGTTAGTTCAGTGCCTGTTTCTACATTATTCTTGACATATACTGAACCTATTACTTAGGCTAGGTGTACGCCTTGGTCTTTACTTACAATTCATCGCTATCGTGCTCGCGAGACCGTCAGTAAAACCGGCTTTCAAAGCTATCACTAGCTCAACTATCGCTTTCGTCCTTGCTAATTTAATCGTCCTTGCCAAGGAGAGTGCGTCGAGGACTCTATTTGCTCCGGAGGCATACCTCCTTTTCTTCCTTCTTGTTCCGCAACTCACGGTGAACATTATAAACATCGACACATCGAAGAACCACATAAGCCCCCGTGGTACCATCGCCCTCCTCTTATGGGGATCATTTTGCTTCTATTTCAGTTGGTTTTGGTGGGTGGGACTGGACGTCTTACCGATGTCCGGCTGTGAAGATGAATTTGGGTTCTTCTTCGCCAAGGTCAGCCTCCGGGGTTGGTTCAGAACCTTTAACAAGGTCCTTTGGACAATATCAGATATTGCGTTTGTCATAATCATTTCATCAACTGCAGTTCAGTTCCTGATAGCATATTTGTGTAAGTTGCACATAAGCTAGTTACAATTAAAGATATACTTCAAGATATCAATCCAGTATCCTAATGCTTTCGCGAAATAGCCCGAGAAGAAGGAGATGGTAAATGATAAACCCCCTCCTTTGATTTCCGTCACTGATAACCTTTCAGTAGACCTAAAACTCGCAAGGGCTACTAGCGAAAAGATCACCGCTCACAACATACTTCAACATATTTTCCTGCAGGGATGGAGCTTTTTCCCGTTTGCTATCTTCGTCTCTGGTGCCGAAATAACACTTCGGTACAATGATATCCGGGGTGTTAACACCGTAAACTCGGCCAGTCAGCTCGTACCCCTAGTCCTTGCTCTTGGCTTGTTGGTGCACGTCATTGGAAATACGTTAATGAGACTAGCCCATGGGTTCCAACATGCTTTCGACGAGGATGTAGCAGGTTCGTGAACCGTCGAACCCCGCTGCTACTTTGTATATAGCTCTAACATTTAAAACTAGACGGACTGGATAATGACAACCATGATAATCATAGTTCAACACGAAGCGACCTCAGACGCGAGCTGCGGGAAGAGCGGGGGTGGCTGGGCGTTACTGGTCGCTTTCTTTTCCGACTCTATTGTGCATTTGTTGCAGGATACAATCAGGAAGAAGTGAAGCCGAGGCATCCAAGTAAGCTAAATTCCCATTCAAGTACAATCCAGCGACTTACCTATGCTCAGATTCCGCTACGAGTTGCCCAAAGAGAAGTCATGGTGCAGAAGTAGACATCGAGTTAGAAGGTGGTCCGCGACCTTAAATCGGACCGCGATTATTGGCCCCCCAATATCTGAGATGAATACGATCGAGTGGAGCGAAGGAGTAGGTATGTATTATGAACACTAACTACATCGGATCAGACGCAAGGGTATGATAGATCACCTTAACAAAACAAGATATAGATACGGACGCCAGAGCATTGTTATCCACTGTGTAATTTAAAATAATGCCGTCAAGTGGAAGATAAATACGACTGTATCACACAAGTAGGCCCAGCTGCTGTCAACCTGCTACGTAGCATACCTATAGACGGTTCATTTCAAGCTACACATATTAATACACCATATAGAAACGCCATTAATAATAAAAGCCTGCTTCAAAAGAGTCTGCTGATCAAGTTGCCTATGAATTTGTAGGATTGTCGTTGCAGTGAGGCGACTGCTATTGCATGAGCATAGGGCCAATAAGCATAGCCCATGTGGTCGCGCTACATGATTACACGCATCAGGCGAAATGCGGATTTCTTGATTACGGGACGGTAGCCTATCGAGCCTGAGGCTCTTGTGTCTGAAGGTTACACCACCTACAACCCTATAGTAGATACGAATGGCACAAAACTAAGCTCTGATGGCGAGGGCTTTGCTCCGCGAATTCTTCTCTTTTTAGTATTCCAAGGTTTATATACAAGTAGGGGACTAAACTCAATGGCTGAATATGACATAGAAAGCGGTGTTGAGGATGTAAGCTCTATGTTTGGGATTTCGTTAAATCGTAAGCTAATTCATTCCTAGTCTCCGGGACAGCAGCTTCACAACATGTTGGAAACAAGTATCGCGGACTGGTCGGAGCTTGGCTCAGACACCTCTGCCACTGAAGACGATATGATAAGTAGTGACGGTCCTGGGCAGCTCTGTAATATCAAAACGCTATACGAGGGCGAATCCAAATGTGCTTGTTGTATGAATTGGGTAGAGGAGCTGCCAAAAGACATAGGTCCGTCGGCAGAAGAAGAGAATGAAAGTAGGCGCCACGCACTTCTAATCCGCATGCAAAGGAACCATAGCGATGGAAAACCAATGGTTCTCCATTCTATCGTTATCCAGAGTTCTTACCTGAAGTCGATGCTGGGTGAATTATTCGAGGAATACTCGGGAATAACTACGACACTCAAGAAGTTGGTGTTTAGAGCACCGTTTCACTGCTTCTTTTACGAATGGAACCGTCTGGAGAAGATCGTCCGTGAGATAGAAGACCCCGTCAGAAAGAGCCATGCGCGCCTGCTGCGGAAGGTTCTTAGGTCGGAATTACGAGAGACTATTTCGCAAAGTAACGATTTGAATCAGAACGGAGTCATCACTTTCGACTATCTGTGGACGATTTTCAAACCGGGTATCGATGTTTACGCCTTTGAAGATGGACATGATCGCATTTACAAGCTTCAGCGAGCTCAATACATCACAGGTTCCGGTGGCCAATTCTTCCAGGTGATAGTCAATGAGATTGATTATGACGGAGATACTTCTGGCTATCTGTCGAAGGTCCTCCCCATTTTCAACTTTCCAGGCACGATGAAAGTCAGCGATCTTGATGTTTTCCCTGCTTCTTACCATCCGAGATTGAGTGAGGTCAAGGAAGCTCTAAGAAAGCGAGGGGAGAAGTTTAGGGATATCCACCTGAAGCCGTATTACTACGGCGCCTACAAAGGTATAGTTGTAGACGGAAAACAAAAGCGCAACGTAAGTGTTTATAAAAGGGTGTCCTAAAAGAGGAAGTTTAATAAATATATACAGGTTGACGGAAGAATTGTGGTCGATCCCTCCTCGTATGCAACTTTTACCGACGGCTGTATCGATTTGATACCGTTGGACTCGAGTCTCTTGAAACCAGGAATGATGGTATCCGACCAAGCACACAAGCCTGCCCCTCCTTATCCCGGCCCTCCCGGGAGGCCAAATGTAAGTGCCATAGTGGAATCTATATTATGCAATAACTAAGGGAGGTTTGAAGCTGATCATAAATACCCAGGGACCAACAATTCCTCCTCCACAACCTCCACCGCCTCCTCCTATAATTCATAGGGCTGGACCGAGACGGGTCATTAAGCATTGTAAGCGACAGTGTAAGTAAGCCCAGACTGGGAGGGTGACTAAACTAGAATATCGCAGCACGAACGCAAGAACTAACCGACGACCTGCTTCATTTATGCACCGGTTATGTACGAGGATACTGCTTTAAGATCAAGAAGTGGGGTGAGTATTTCCAACGAAAGACTTGATCATGGCGGCCTCCGTTACTTACTGCATCTTATAGTCATATTCCATATCGACAATATTCAAGATATCCAATGGCGCGATGACGCGTTTGATAGTCTCGTGCTGGCTGGTGGGTACAAGAGCCTGATCATGACATTTGTTGAGAGTCATGTCGAGAATAAGGATAGATTCGATGATGTGATCGAAGGGAAAGGTATTGCAGCCCTCAATATTAACTCATTCATGGAACTGAAGCTGATATATAAACGACGTGTAGGGCAGGGCATCAGTATGCTTCTTGAAGGACCTCCGGGTGTTGGCAAAACTCTTACGGCAGAAGCTGGTAAGTACCTACCTTGAAGAGTTACCCCGAGTTTATAGTTTTTAACATGCTATCTTAACAACTATGTAGTATCGGAAAAGCTAAGACGTCCCCTCTACCAAATGGGCGCTGGGGAGCTCGGAGCCGAACCTGATACGGTAGAGGAAAACCTCAAGATGATTCTTGAAACAGCTGCCAAGTGGGATGCGGTTCTACTCCTCGACGAGTGCGACGTTATCCTTGCCGAGCGCAGTAACGATAGTCTTGGTCGAAATAGCATTGTTGCTATATTCTTGCGTTTGCTTGAGTATTATCGTGGCATGCTATTCATGACTACCAACAGAGTCGAAGCCATGGACCCGGCATTCCAGAGCAGAATCCATCTGACTATCCACTACCCCGTTCTGGATGTACCGGCGCGCCGACAGATTTGGGAACGGTTTATCCAGAATTCTCATCAGAAGTCGACGTTACTTCCACATAACTTCCTCGAGTTGCAGTCTATCCCCATCAACGGGCGTGAGATTAAGAATGTTATCAAGACTGCCCAACTACTAGCAAGCCATGAAAGGGGTCCTTTAACTATCGAGCACATTCGTATAGCGTTGGGTGTGTCGCGGGTTGGCTACAAGCCTAGAGCCGAGACAATTCATTGCGTATGAATGAATCTGTTCTATTATGCGATGGTAGTTGAAGGTAGGGTGTTGGTCTATGTGCTTATCGGTCGTTTTATAAGGACTTGGAACACTGGGGCAGATGTCATTTATCCTGATTCTGAATGTTACAGCCTCATACGAGGGCCCGAGGCGGGGTTTTCTCTTTATCTTAGTTATTAGGCGGCTACATCGTATAAGACTGAGCTATCTTTCTATGATCTGATTCTGCGTCCGAAATTGTAGATGAGATGATCTCGGTGACCGTAGGTCTTATGCTGCTGCTATTCAGCTACGTAAAGATTATTTAGTGATTGTATTTCTTCGCTAGTAGGCGTCCCGGGGCGTGCATGTTCGTTCTCATTACCCCTGTCAAATCGATCTCAAACGTTGCTGTAGCTAGCCTTGTGGATAACTGCGGGGAAGATGGTCCAGGATGAAGGATACCCATCACTAATTCAATGTATCATGTAGTCTTAGAAGCGATCGTGTGGGATAACTTCAATGTTCATTACCTCCACCTTCGAATTACCCATCCGAGGAAGCTGACGCCTGTGATCCAATGGCCCATGGCCTTAAATTTCAGCTTCTCACCCCCATTTAGCCAGACGACCAACCCATCCCCAAATCTGACCAGAGATAGAACGGCTGCGAACGTAGTGACGGCGGCTGCATTTCCCTGCCACTCCAAAGCTACCAAGGTCAGGCCATAGCTGATCTCACGAATACCCTTAAAATACATGAGCGGCGACGTGAAGCTAATACCAGAAACATCGTACTGGTCCGTCGGGGAAGGACCCTCATCCTGAATGTCAAATGGCAGGCCGATGTTATTGTACTCCTTCTCTGGCGAGAATATAGTCATAAGACCACGGGCGAAGCAGGCCGTGCCAAGGATGTACGAAGAGAAGGGCGAAAACGCAGCCATTTCGAGGGAGACTTCAACGCCGGTGAATTCGTTGTGTTGGGTGTGAGTACCTCCTAATGTCACTATTATAAGTATAGACTAGAGTAAGGAGTAATGCGGGACTGGATTCATAATGTAAATATTAAAAATAGGTAGTTTATTTTTATTTTTTACATTCAGACATTGATGCAGCTCTCGTATGTATAGGGCTAGCTGGATCTATGTTAGATCGGAGCGAGACAAGCGAGAGCGGGTCAACTTTTCTATTCCCCGTCTCTTACATCCTGCTTACATAAACTGTAACACGTGCTTTCAGTCCACTGGACCCATAATAAAGTTAGCAAGGAATATCCTGGCCTAGTGTATGTATGGTCGAGCATAAAACCTTTTATTTGTGCACCTTATCCTAATTCTATTAGCCGCTGTATCCACTTTCTCAGTACCATTTCAGCCTCCCTTACTTCCTACTCCATACCTTATACTTATCTGTACATTTCTCTTAACACCTCCTTTATCCATCTTCCCCCATTAGCAACATTCTAGAAAAGAAGTAGGCCAGCAAGTGGCTTCTCTGTTTAAGGTGCCCACGCACTTTAAACGAAGAAGGGAGTTGAACCCAGACGCACCTGCTATATTTTTAGCAGATCACCAGTCGCAGCAGTCTAAAAGGGTCTTGCTATCCGAGCATCCATAGGATCGAATCAAACGTAACAAACTATAGTTAACTTAGGTAATGAATAATCCTGGCCTATGGTCTATTTGATTTTCTTTCAAATGCAAACTTTGGGTGTTTAATATCACAATAAAGCGCTTGGTTTCAATACAGCTTCCTTTTCGGCAGCTTATGTGCAATGGCAACATTATTGATGATTACACGCCCGATGCGAGTAAACCCGTCCCGGAGAGTCTATCTGCTAATTTAATACACACTAATGCCACTCATGACCGGTTTTTTCTAAGTGTTGGTCGCTGGATGAAAATAGTAAATGTGATGGATGGGTTGCAGAGATAACGTCTATGAACATCAATCTCAATATTCTTGGCCGCATGAGTTCTCACAATTCCATGACCAACACAATATGTCGGCAACTGTCATCAACCAACAATTAATATAGCTTGAGCTTTGACGTGGCTATTGATACAATAACATTCCGTCCCTTTTCTACATTTCACCTTGCCGATTACTTGCAGTATTATTTCCAGTTCATCTTCCTCACGGGAAGATTAAGTCTCTTTTACTCCGGCTTCTATTAACCAGCGGTTGATCGTCTGAGATGGGAGTCGCATCAGAGTGATGTAAGGAATGCCATCGGGTACATGATCCTTCTTATACATGCATATATATATACTCTTTGGGGGTTTCATCCCAGCTGTGATGCAGTCTGGACAGTTATGTTGCCAACAGCCAAGCGATTCAACTCCTTCGGTGCGCCAACTAGATACTAATAAAATAACATGCTCAATACGGGAACTAACTGCCTAAGCATCTTACTACTTTGTAGCTAGGTAGCCCCTGGGTCAGAACGACAGTAGTTAACCTCACTCTTGATATACATTGTACACCAATGGGAGTCAACAAAGTCCGAAAAGGTGGCAGAGAAATAGATGAAACTTATTTATATCAACGTGGAATTCACACTCTACATTTTTAGGTACCCATGAGGCTCTCTATTGTATTAAATAAGATGACGACCCGATAAACTTGTAGGCTAATTTCAGAGCGCTTAATACATGCATATCGATCCACCTTCAAGATGAATCTCTACTGCCTCCTTCAGTCATCGTCCTCTTCATCGGTCGTCTCCTCTTCTTCATCGTCATCATCATCGTCGTCGTCGTCGTGCCGTGCCTCGATATCATATTCTCTCTTCGCTTCGTTTAGTGTACAGTTCACAAATAACACCCCCGCAAGCAACAGATACGCATCTTCAAATCTGAAGAAAAACTTATCCAACTTTCCCCCCTTTCCTTTTTTGCCATCCATCACGTAGACCCATAGTAATCCGCCGTCTTTCTTCCAGTCTTTCTTTGTCACTACAACAAAGGCCGTAGGATAGACAGATATATTTCCCATTGACTCGCGATGTCTCCTTTTTGAACCGCGACTTTTCACTTTATCGAGTTTGATTCCCTTATCCGCGGCGACATGAGCAGCGACCACATCGCTGAGCGTCTTACCCGCGAAATCAGCCTCGGGTCGTGCGATTTTGATTATGGGTGTTACGTTCTCTTCCTTGTACCACACTTCTTGCAGGCCGGCGGCGACCTCAGCTAAGTTGACACCGGGAACGAGGTTATAAAGGTAGAAAAAAGCGTCGCCCCAGCTGTATTTTCCGTATGTAGTGAGTCCGGGTGCGGCTTCTGGAAGAGTCAAGTCTAGGGATGTGGACGCCATGTTAAGATGGTGAGTGTAATTGGTTTTGTAATGGAGAATTGAATGTCTTGATTTTAGGTGGTTTGCATTGGGACCCCGCGTAGGAATTGCGATTTATGAAGAGAAGAAGGGAAGCTTTTATGGCTGGTTTACTTTAGGTTAGGTACCTAGGTACCTACCTACCTACATGTAGGTAAGCATGGGAACGAGTTAGGAGGTACCTAAAATTTGTTACTTATAGGGGGGTTACATCGACCACTTCATGTGCTACCAACAGCTTTTATTTACGGTGTAAGACGAAGGATTGTCATCGCCTTGATTTCACCTGCAAGACATAGCAGGAGCGGGATTCATTTAGTTTATGTAATCACAGCCTCATTAATTAATGAAACTCTGCCCAATCGCGTTATATGAAAAGTGACGTGAACCAGTTGTCATTTTATTTTTTCCCCTTATATGCCAGCTGAGGAGTTGACTAGCCGACTACCCGTAAGGCTTGTAGGGCTAACTAACCTTCTAGTTTAAGTTATGATATAGCTATATATAGCAGCCGTTAGTTAGTTAGTTGGTTGGTCGGTTGGCTGGTTAATATATTTAATGCCGGGGCAAAGGGGAAAGACCAGCCCTCGAAGACAACAACAAACCACGATAGCCTCATTTCAGTATTCAGTGTTTCCTTTTTTATTTCCTATCTTATTCCTTATTGATGTACACCATAATAATACCGATACCTGGTCCCCCGACACCTAGAGATATATAGCGTACAAAGCTATTTAAAACCTAATATACAAAACATCTATTTATACCTATATATAATATTAATTCTTAGTATCCTGCAAATCCAACCTTAAGAAGTACACATAATAATGTTCCAGCCGCCCCCGTTAGCTCTTCCGGGTAAGCTTGTGTTCGGTGTAATATTGGTGTTCAGAGGTTGTCTAATAGGGCGCTGTTGGTTTGTTTTCAAGCTATTTTATCTTACGCCTTCTCGGGTATAAGGCCTATTCTAGCTGCAAACACTGTTCCATTGCAGTTCGGCTGTTGGGCATGGTCCCCAAGGCACTTTTCCGCGCAGTACGTATATATAGCAATGCGTAGCCCTGTAAACTGCATTCCCCTAAACGTGTTGGCGATGGATGCTACCCTCCATTGTAGAATACGCGCACCAAGCGATACTAATCGAAAAGGGGCCAAAAGGGGCCAAAAGGTACCTAATTTCGTCTTAGTGAAAGAGCCTTGGGCTAATACGAATTACTCCGAGCCAATCTGGCTTTAAAATATGTTGAATCTTAAAGCACCTTGGCAGGATCCATGCCATCTAAGATCCAAGCCTCTGTCGACAACTAAAGTACCAATCTTTAATCATCGGTTGGTAAGATCAATGAAACGGCCAAGTTGCTAGACGTCAGACAGCTCTGTGAACTACCAGACATGGTAAAGCCTTCCCTATGCTGATGTATCTGTAACGTTTATTTAAAAAGTCTTGCCGCTTAATGGGGTGTTTTGTGTCACGCAAGTAGGCCAATCCACCAACATAAGATACAATATAAAATAGCCTGATGGATGTTCTTACTACCGAGAGCTAAATACATTAGAAAAGCACACGATGGACTTAGCTACGCCTTCCTTTCTGAAACGAATTATCCTAATGGATGTCAGCCCTACGCCGCCATCCAAAGAGATTGGAAGGTATACTGGTATCTTATTATGAGTCCAACACTGAAAGGGTCGAGGTCTTGAGCATATAAAGCGTCGTGTATTCCCAATGCAGTCGTGAAGTATAGCTAGATAGAATCAAACAAATTCGATTCATCCATTTAGTCAATATTTCTATTCTGTTTCATTTCCTTCTTCTCACTTGTTCTATCTTGTAAATATACCATTATGAAGGCATCTTGGATCCTCGCACTGGTTGCGGCAAGTCCCATGGTTCTCGCCCTAGGCCAAGAGCCTTCTACTGGCACAAAGCTGGTTGACCGGGCAGTTAAGAAGGTTTTAACATTCGACTGTGACAAGATGCCGGAGGTCTGTCACAACATGTGCTATGGTATGACTCAACTATACGACATCTATCTCTTACTCTTCCACCCTGGGCGTACAAATCCTAATTGTTTTATGTAAATAGCCACAAATTGCAAGCACAAGCCTAAGCAACTCACCTGGGACGACCCTATATCAAGTATCGAACGTAAACGCAGGCAAACAGCAGGTTGCGGTGGCATTAACCGCTGCAGTCAAAAGAAACTTAAGAAGTCAGGGTTCAACTGCGACGAATACCCCTTCGCCTCAACCAGAAATGCAGATAGGGGTGGTCAGATCAACCGCTGCGTTCCAAGCACAGAAAATCACCGTAAGATGAACTTTAGATACCTAGCCACTTAACAAATTCAACAGACTGATTAATTCTTATTTTCTTCAGGCCAAGGCTCAGCTCTTGGGCAGTTCTACCACTCCAAAGGCAAATTCAGGTCCACTGGATGCAAAGGCAAGACGAACTGCAGTTTCACTGTTGCCTTCAGGGGCGCCAAGGCCAAGACCATTGGTCCCTGCAAGAAGAAGCCCGACTGCAAGAACGACGGTAACCAGTGGACCAAGACTGGTCCTATCAAGCGCGAGGAGCCCCGGGAGCCCGAAAGTGTAGCAGAGTACAAGCTCCGCCGCAGCGGTGACACTGTTTTGTCGTCTGAAAACCTGCAGCCTGGTGATCTCGTATACCACATCGTGGAGCGTAATGTTACGCTAGCCGAGGAGCACCACATGGGCCACGTTTTCAACGAGTTCGCCGGGGTTGAGCAGTATGACTACATGTCGGACAACATGGACATGGAAGAGGATGAGATTCTTGCCAGAATCTAATGCGAGAAGATTTCATATATAGGGGTTAGGCCCACATAAAGTCTGGATTTGGAAAAGGTTTGGACATTTCTTGTATATCTTGCATTTACTTACTCACTGGATCGGGGGCGTATATCTTGCATATTTTCTGTATATAAATTAGATGATGTATATTATTATATTGGGACAATTTTGAAAACTTTTAGACTACCTAGACATTCTGCTAAACATTCTGGTTGGCCGGGCTCCTGGGGGCAATGAGATCCATATTTAAGACAATTATTGAGTTTGGAACTTCTGATTCACTCTATCAGTTATATGTTTAAACTAGGTACCTAATAGTTCCCCCTATTTAGTGTAATAGCGATTCTTAATATACTAGTTTGCAATGCTTGATAGGAAGGAGCACCTGCAGGACCATAGCGACCTAGGATAGGAGAAAACAACTACCTAGAGCCAAGCAGTCAAAGAACATTTCTGTCTGCAGTATTTCCAACACGTCTTGGTATTCGCCATCTTGCTTAACCCAAGCAATCCGCGAGAAGGTTGATGTTAACTGATATTTCGAGTTTGCGGTAGTCTGAATGGTGGTTGATATCGTGTAAGGAAATGCTTGTTCTTAGGTGGCAGGAGACGTGGTAAATTGACAGATTGCACGGGCAGAAATACGAAGCTTTCAACGATGAGGTATATGAGCCGTAATTGTACGTATATTAACTTGTTGCACCATATCTAGGAGTGAAGGTGAGGTCTTGCTTATATATTATGACAAGGATGTTGTGGATTATACCTCTAAAGATTCCGTAACTATACATTTTAACCGAGTCAAAAACTTAAGTATATTTAAAGTCAAGCGGGCTATGTGCGAGGAAATAATGCCATACAATGTGAGCTAGGGTTGTTTTCTCGCGAGCGGATATATTAAAAACATGCTAGTTGCGACGCTTTATTATTACCATATTGGCAGATGCCTTTAAGTCGGAATTCCTCCGTATAGAATGTCTTTACAACAATTTAATCTGCGTGATTAAAACCCAATTACTTGAATTGTCCAGTGTGCCGAATTGTGTTCTTTAGGGTCTAAAATAAGTGGTTTTATTTGGTTTCAAGCGGGCACATGAATACAGGTATATAACGTCCTAGCATCAAGTGAAGAAAAAAACCTTCTCAGCTGCCAGACTTTAGATATACTTCTAAAATAGCCCTAAACCCCAGAAAAGGAGTGTTCTTTGAGAACCTCGTTCCACAATCTTGCAATGGTTAGCTATTGAATCTAAACGACGGATAGAAAGATCGCGATAAGTTTATATGGCGCCAATTTGTTAATTACCTAAGTAGGTAGGTATATTATAATCATACTTAATTTAGGGTTTAAACGTTAGTAAATATTGATATAGGTGTACCCAGATTGTTAGCTCCGAAGTAAAAGAGGCCATAGATTAACGATGTTATTGAGATATGGTGTGACAACTAGATTAGGTACCTTACCGGAGGACTGGTGTAAGTTATTCCGCGTGCCTAACATGGTAACTAATGTAAAATATATTTATTCTACTCTGGTCCGATTATATTTATATAGTCTTCATTCGTCTGCTTAGAGAGTTCATAAGTTGAAGGAAAAAGCAGGCCATGATGAACGCTGAGGGATTGTGGGGCACAGCCACAACCACGATGCGCGAGGATTCAGGAGTAAATAAGTGCGCTATTCTGTGATGTGATAACGACGGCTGAGCATAAACGAGAAATGCAAAGCAATCTATTAGATTTTGGGAAGGCATTTTCTGATAGGTAGTAATGGACATGGATGAAAGACGGAGAGAATAAAAATTTTGAGAGTGAATGCAATGAATTTGAGTAAATGCAGTTTGACTAGAAGTTTATTGCGAATTGGTTACACCATATTATCCCTTACCTTATCAACCGACACGATTAATTATTATATCCTTTTATTAATAATAATTAATAGTTGAATCAGAAATTTAATACCGAGTTTTTATTATATTTTCTTATCACATTTTATTGTAATTAATATTTATTTATAATGGCATAGTTAATATTCCCGTTTATTATATTCATTAAAAGGTAAAACCAACTCACCTAAGATCAAGCAAGTTACTCAGAAGGTAAACTAGGTCAGCACTGATCTGTTATACGAAAACTATTATCAACTTATTTGATATTAGCTATCCGGTGGGTGACGTAACATGTTAACTTTAATTCAACGTCTTTACTTCATTTTCAACGCGCTTTGTTTCTTCACGATATCAAGAAGTCATACCCTGAGAATCTAAGGTAAATAGTATATGTGAATTGCTTAAAATTGCTAAATCATTCATATATCCGTTTAAATTAGTTGAGTAAAAATAAAGTAAAGGTTAGCATTAAAATATTACTATTAAGTCCTTGCATTCGATTTTGACCAACATCTTTGCGATCGAATACGTACCAAATTATGAAAACTTATTGGTACCTAGCGATTTTTATCCAGCTTATTAGGAAATAACACCGATCTCATGAGTATTTGACGAATTCAACTATTGCACAGCTTATAATATGCCAAGGTGCCATAAATTATCACAGCATTACCAAAGTAGCATCACTTTATAACCAAGAAAAGAAATATATCAAAATAAGGTCCAAGTAGTGGTTTTTAATAATATATATCTTGAATTATTTCTCCAGAGTTCAGTTTTCCGACCCGCGTGGATATCTTATCATGTTTTGAAACTATTGCAACACCAATTCTAAACCGAAAAAGCCTTATACATAAACGTCAAACAACCGTAATTAGTCGAGATGTCCTAAAATTCATGATACAGTCTTGGGAGTGATATGCCGTCCACGTGTTAAGAAAAGCGAACAAATTGTGTAAAGAGCGCCAGCCGCGATAATCATTGCCCATACATCACCGATGACGGACACAATGACATCGATACATTGAGCCCGGATTTCAGGAGGAGCATTTGCCAAAATTTCGCTCTTGGCTCCAGCAATAGCAGCTTGGATCTCGCTCTTCGTGTAGCCCGGTCCCAGCACCTGTTGGATCCCATCAAATGCTTTAGTCTGGAATATCGCACTGGCTATCGCTAATCCAATAAGACCACTGGCGCCTTGGGAAATATTGAGGAACTGAATGACGTCAGATGCCCTGCTTGGTTCCACTAGAACATTGCCTACGGCATAGACAGCTTGACTTGTCGTCATACCCAAGCCGACTAGAACCGTATAACCGGCGATGTTCGCGTTTGATGTGTCGACTGTTACTGTAAACATTGTTGCTCCGCCAGCAGTCATAAGGAGACCGCTGACAGTAAACCAGACCATATGATAGCCAACCTTCCTCATGGCTGCACCGCAGAGGAGGATTGAAAACACATAGCAGCAAACGTACGGGAGCAGTCTCACAGCAGCCCCAGTACCGGTAAGCCCATAGACAAACAAGTAGTACAGCGGAATGTAGTAAACGGCAACAAATACGGCAGCTCCACCACAAGCCATGATGATGAAGAGAAGTACCAGCTGAGGATTTCGTAAGAAATCACAGGGGAATAGTCGGTCAACCTTGTTCGTGAAGATGGCACGGGCTTGAGATACGCCGAAAGCAATACCGCAGACACCAAAAACAACGAACAGGGCGATAATCCGACCATCACTCCACTCCCATATAGCACCACCGAAGGTAAAGGCAACAGTGAAGCAGCAATACATGCCAGCATTGAGGATGATTCCCAACCAATCCAAAGTCTTCAATTTGTCCGACAGAGCCGTCTCTGGCTTGCGTGGGATGGATGGCAGCAGGAAGAGGTAGATGGGAGCCATGACGGCGAAGATGCATAGATTAAGATAGAATGCCTGGAGATTCATTAGCAACATAGAAATAATCAATACTTATCATGGGAACTATGCTTCTTACCCATCGCCAAGTGGCAGGGCTATCAGCTAGAAGACCGCCAACAATAGGCCCAAGGATACACCCAACACCGTAGACGAAGCCAATGAGCCCTACATAGAAACCATGTTCCTTTGGTGAGCTCAAGGCGGTACAGATATTCAATGTTCTATACCATCATTAGTAAATTAACTTGTTTCAACTTGATGGGTATATCCCTACCCGAGATACATGCCGGCTCCGCCAGCGCCAGCCCAAACACGGCCCACGATCATGGCATTCATGTTCGGCGCACCTCCGCAGAGGGCACTAGCCGCAGCAAAGTTGGTTAGGCAGCCGATGAAAATCCACTTGTTGTCGAAAAGGCCGTAGGCCTTTCCGAGCGGCAAGATCATAACGGCTGATCCCAGCGTAAACCCGACACCGAGCCATCCCAGCTGTGCAACATTGCTGTAGGTTTCCGAGACCGCACCCTGAATATCGGCGACAATGGTGGAGTCAAGACCGTAGAGGATGTTTGCCGAGAAGATGGCGATGCAAATGAGAAGCCATCGGATACCTCGAATAGTACGTTCCTGTACCTCCCCACTGCCCTCGCCGTCACTCGAGTTGGACGATAGCTGTTCCTTAGTGCGGATCTCGGCACTGCTGCGCTTCTCGATGTCTTGGCTGTAGTCTGCCATTGGTGCAATAGTATGGCACCGAAGGTGGCTGAGTATAAGGCTTGCCGGATGGAACTAGTGTTGGACACGGTGATGGAACGAGAGGAAATACAATTGAGGGCCCGGTGCTAAAAGGTCTTTTATTCTCAACACAGAATATTTTTGATATCATGATTGCCACCCTGAACTTGATCCGTCTATTTCGGGCTTAAGGAGTTAATTCAAAGTCCTTCTATTATTGTGCTGCAATTCAGATTTCGTGATGTATAACCGTCAGTTATTGCATTGGCGCGTCGTTGAACCGTTCGTATTGCGCCTCTGAATGGACTGTGCCTAAGGCTGTCATGCCTGCTTATGCCATAGATCCCTTACCAAAAGGAGACAGAGAAGGATTTTGATTGGTTCGATAAAAGAGGAGCGGCCGGAGTCCTCCTCTCGGATGCTGACTCAAGTAACTTGAAGCGGCAAATATACCATATCTCCTTTTGGAAAGGCATCACATCTATGCCCAAATTTTCTCTGCTCTGACTCCTTGAATAAAAATGACAGATATTTTCGAGAAGCTCCAGATCCTTCCTATGATATCACAAACAACCCCATAGGTATTTCGGCGTTAAGCCTATAGCCTTGCATCAATAACGTACTGATTATACCCTTGACGTTACTTTGACCTCACTTGTCAGCTCGCATAGCTGCAGATCGCTCGCTTCTATGAGATATTCTCCTGCTGCTCGTGCATATGTTCGGAGTATTTCAGCTCCGCCAACTCATTTCGTTTGTTTTTTTCAAAATATCACCTGCTTATTTTCTCTTTGTAGACATAGATAAAAACATCCGCCAACCTCCTCGACTCTTTAAATTTAAACTACACATACACATGCTATCTCGCGACATGTACCTAGTGTATATGTCCCAGGTCCTAGAATCCTAAATTAGGGATCCGGAGTGACTCCACTAAGCCAAGCCCGGCTACCCGCTGCTATGTACTAGGTCTTTAGATCTGATTCTGTAAGTAGCTTATCTTCCACGGCTGATCCTAAATTGATAGAATTTTAATGGAGAAGCGCCTAAACGTTTTCTTCTGATATGCTAGCTATCCGTATGGGGCCGCGTAAGCGCTAAAACGCGATCCTAGTTTAAATCTTTCGAGATAACTATGGCTATATCTCTCCCGGAATCCTTCAACTACATAGGCGGTCCTAAAGGCGCAGGGAAGCCCCTCCCCCCCTGACCATCGAGCAGGCCTATGCGACAGGGGAAACCGTTCCTGGATCAGCTTATATGGCTAAGGGTCGAGCGTAGGCGTTAAACTAAGTCACGCGATAAAAATGGTGGAAAATCGTCATCGTGGCTACCATGTCTATCGGGACTAACATAGTCGCCGATTTTTTCACGGAGAATAACTCTCTCGCTGACGGCGACGACGAAGATGAGGGGTGATCCCCCGCCCATAACATTGTATGTGCGCTTTATTACGCAAATCCAGCTCCTGCCATAGCGTCCCCTCACCTCCAGAAGCCAAGTACGAAATACATCATCACATCATCCTACGAGACATCCGGCGCTGCGGGACGAAGCGGCGGCCCGCGTACCCGTGAGCGTGGACGTGGCTCAGTACGCTCCCGATCACGTATACGCGCATGAGAATGTCGATATTCAACTTGATGCGAAATGCGGAGGGGAGACGATGGCGGTGTATGGCCTTGGCAGCATTGATCGTCTGGGACTCCATCCGGATGCCGGACGAAAAGTCGTTTCAACTCAATGCCGATGGAGACAGAACTTCGGTATCCACAAGAATAAAGAATACCGACTTGACAGCTTGGCTAAGGCTACCGACACATGCGAGCTGCGGCAGAATATGGGGGCCGCTAAACTAGCTGCGGCTACGGGCGGTCTAAGACAAGGATCCCCCGGACAGTTCCTCTTGCGGCGCATAATTATGTACGTTAACACTGTAATTGCGGTTTTCTTCGGATTCTGTTTCATTGTCACCAGATATCGCTAATAGAGGATCTCTTCTAACCTAGGTTAGCACGTTGAATAAGTTTTCAATCATGAAGAAATACCTGAACTTCTAATGGTGCGAAATTAATCATTGAGATTGGCGCTTTTATTGCCCAGTCTCGAAATATATCAAACGAGAGCTTTGTCGAGCACTCATTTAATTGCGCGTATCTATCGTAACCGCAAATCTAGGTACCGATGAAAATGTGATGCGAGAAGATAGAAAAACCAAGTTGACCCGAAAATGTTCCAAAGGGCGAGTATTTCGTGAGTTTTGTGTTTCTCATGACATGTATAATTTATTATTATGAACTTATATACTCCAAGCATGATTCTCATATTCTAATGCGTAGGTAGGCACACACGTATATCAAAATGAAATACCGAGTCCAAAAAACATCTGTATATGACATTCTCTTCATCTCCCTTGAAGGGCTCAACCGGCCCCGAAATTGTAACCCCACTCATCCGGCACATTGCCCATGGCAGACCAGAACATCTCCAAGCCGATGGAGGAATCCACGGAGAATGCCGTGTCCATTGCCATTACATTCTGCATCTCCACGTGGTCTTCGTTTGTATGCATCATGGGACCGCTACCCTCTATGAGCCCTGCTCCCATCATGTGGTCTGGTACCTGCATCTGGCCGTCAGCCGTCCTGGAGGCGAGGAAATCAGCCTTCGTTGTGAGATCCCGCATCACAGCCGCTGCACTGTTAGCAGCCGCAAAACTGCGCCCGAATATTTCAAATACAGCCACGGCACGCTCCACAGCCTGGCGCACAGTACCTGCGATGTTAGAATTTGGATGCGCGAGGAGGTATCCAGCCATCGTGACGGCGGCGTTCCATTGCCATTGGAAAGCTTCGAGCCAGCCACACAGGATATCAGTCTCGGACAGTATCTGGTGCATGATATGCGTTATTGCCATACCGTGGTTGACGGCCGAGTTAGCATGTGATTGGGTTACCGGTGTTGGGGGCGGTGGTGAAGAGCATGTAGTTAGTGACGTGGACGGGAATACTATGAAGGGCCGATAGAGGTTCATAGACAGGTGATGATATAACAACTCCAGAAGTAGGCGCTGTCGCTGTAACCAGAGAGGAGCGAACCGTTCAACAATTAAAGGGGAATGATCTGTCGACAAGGAAACGCCAGCCCCGACACGTTTCGTCTTAAGCGCATCGGGAACAGCAACGGCCCAGGTATCCAAGGTTTTCATTATTGTAGCGAGATAATCGGCATATCGTTCCAGAGCTTCGAGGTCATCATAGATGATAGTACCTTTCTCACCAGTATAGATATCCGAATACTTATCGTACAGTGCTGTATGGACCGCGCGTGCGGCCAGGATCAACTTCGTGTTGTATAGGTTGTAACTGAGCCACGTGACGTTCTCTCCAAGCGGTGCAAAGTCGGATCCCGCTAGCATTGCAACATTGTGATCATCGCTAGGCAGGCTGCACAGGGTCGTAGATAGACTTAGCGAGAAAGGGCGGCCTAGTTTCATGCCAGTCTTACTCTCAGCCATGTAAAGCGACCAATAGAGACGCTTGCGCATTTCTCGTTCAGCAAGTGGCAGGGTCTCAGGCGGCTCAAAATGCAGTCCAAGCATCTGCGCAGTACGAACAGCGAGAGCAAGGGTACTGTGCGCCATGTTCTGAAACGAGGCACAGCATAGATAAACGACAGAGAGGAGCTGACATTGTAATGTGCTTATCGTCGGACTTTCCAACTCGCTAGTCAAAAGGCTCTGACATCTCCGATAATACCAACGTCCGGCGATGGTCGGGTCATCAGCGTCCACGTCAGATGAGACCTTTGTACCGCGTGGTATCCCCGCCACTACGAAGTTATATGGTAAGCAGCTATTGCTATATCTAGTACATATGGGTAACAGGATGATGGGCTAGGCGATAAGATTCTTGGGTAGGATTCATATCTACGCGCAATACGACAAGGGGGTGTGATTAAGGACTGATGAAAACCACTTACTACCATATTGCATACACAATGCGATGACAATATCCACTAGGGCTGAAGGTTTCCGGGGTTTACCGGGGGTCACCCATAATGACTTGTAGTGTTTTTTGAAATCGAGCTCGTTGAGGACGAGCAGGGAGCTGTGAAAAGATTGCCAAAATAGGTCCAGAAAATACTCCTCTTGGGTTGGCGTAAGAAATTCGCCAGAAGATGTTCCCTTGTTAGGCTCCTGAGATGACAGCTCATGGTCGTCGGATGGATTGCTACAATTAGGAGTCGGAAATGATTTGGCGACCGAATTGAGTTGGATCTGTTCGTCCAGATGTAGCTGCTGAAATACCGCTGTAAGGTAGCTGTTCATGCGGCTAATAAAGTAGAAGAGCGACGACGGCCCGTACCACGTTTTCTGACGCGAGTGGGCTGTGCTAGTCTCGATGCCATCCCAAGACTTCTTCGTGCTTGTGGATTCCCACATATAGTTAAGATCCACAGGCGACGATGCTTTTGCTGAGGATGAGCGACTAGCATTATTGGCGGAATTATTTTCCTCCTTGAGCTGTTCTTCTAACTCGGTGACTTGTTGCTTCAGTCGGTCAATCTCACTATCAAATCTCAGAATGTAAGCACTCTTGAGCTTCACATAAGTGGCACAGCCAGGCAGACTTACCGGTAAGCATGTGCTAAGGTGCGGGCCTCGTTTGAGGCTTTGTTGCTACATTGCCATCCTCTGCTTCGGCAATTCTTGCATGGGAGGTTGTTGTCGCACTTGACTCGGTGTACTCGACACCTGTTCGATGTCCATTAGGAGATGTTGAACTTGGATAAGGTAGATACCTTAGGTATTTAGGTATATTGGTGATATAGATGCGGCTTCAGTGAAACACGGGAAAATAAAATTAAATAAATATAAAAGGATTAGGTACTTACCAGTCGCAAGCCCGAGCAACTTGTAGCCGCTTTGGCCTGGGTGGAGCACGAACCGAGGTTTCGGCCGGTTCGGACGAGGGTGACACTAAGGTTCCTCCCGTATGTCCACTCTTGTTACTCCCAGTTAGTGACTGAGGCGTTCCCACGAATGTGGTAAACATTAAGCGTTGACTCTCTGTTGTTGGTTTTTTGAGATCCTATGTTAACAATCCAATCGGGGGTTTTTTTTTTACCCTGGATCAACTCAGGTACCAGTATTCAATCAGCTGACGGAGATTTCCGGTATAGGCTACACTTTGATTAAAGGCACTATGTAAAGAATTGTAGAGGGAATCAACTGCTATGGGAAAATAGACAAGTGGGGACTCCAAATTGGACTCCGAAGGTTCAAAGTGAGGTTTGGTGGAAGAACATGTCATGTACCCAAATGAGGAGCGACTCACGGTATTTGCAAAAACTGTGAACCGGACCCTGTGACGACCAGTTACCACGGTATTCGGTTTACTAAGTTAGTATATGTAAGATAAAAGAAATCCTTTCCGTGCTTATTCATGCAGGTAGGAGGCGTTTAAAAAATAGAAAAGAGGAAACTAATACCGCCTCGTTATTGTTAAGTTTCGGTTTAAGTAACTAATAGTTATTATCAAGTTTATTTTTTTAACTACCTCTTTTAATTGCAATAACTAACATAAAATCTAGCCTAAGACTTAAAGAAATAATTCTTACAATCATTTAGTTAACGACTAAAAGATTTAAGTGAGCCACATTGTCAATTAAATATATATAAAAGTAGCTACCTAACCTAGGTATTTATAAAGATACAGTATAAGATATAATATCATGCATAAAACCTCATCGTCAGCTCCTCACTGCAGATATGCCTTACCGGTAGGTAAGACCCAGGCTGTTGGTTACACGGCATTTTCAGCTTGCTTATAATTCTTTATCACTTTTATCGCATACCACACCCACACACACACACACATACCCCACGCACGTAAGATCCTGTGCAGGGCCTCTGCAGGGCCTGACGTCGTTCCTAGATAGCTCGGAGATATAAGCTGTACCTCTATCGATCATCTATAATTACCCACGGAACGGATCTGCCATAATCCTTGAATAACACAGTAAGTATTAGAGCCAACTAGCTGACATCAGTTACGATGGTAAGCGAGATAACTTTCCAAGAAGACGCCGCTTCGGAACCTCCTTTTGGACCTTATTCGACATCAACGCTTGAAATCAAACGAATATAGCCATGATCGTGTTGACTAGAGCTCACCAAAGTTGAATCCTTCCGAGTGAAGGATCTAGGAGAAGTTATGACTTCTAGGTAATCTCGATTACGGTTGCGCGAGCGAGTACGTGCGCCTGTCCATAGCCTACCATATGGAGTATCGAGAATGGCTATGAAATTATTAGCTCTAGCCTGGGCACCTAAGGCTGTCAAAACATATAAAACAAGTCGATGATGTCGATCTCATCGCAAGAATTTTAGAAACCAGTCTCGCCAGCAAGCTCTTCGCCGATCCTCGATTCCCCCAGCTTCGACTGCTTGTCTTGTCTACTTAGTCATCTGTTAATCTTATATACCAACCCGCGATGGCTTGGGCGGCGAAGACGGCATATGCCGTCGTGGCTTTGGCTGCTATTGCGCAGACCACACCTCTAGATAATCACATCCAAGCTCGCCGTCTACTAGGCTCTTCTTTCGGCATGCCAGGTGACGATGCCACCTATGACTATGTTGTTGTTGGAGGTGGAAACGCAGGTTTAGCCCTTGCCACGCGCCTGGTCGAACAGAAGGCCGGTACGGTTGCAGTTATCGAAGCTGGGTCATTTTTTGAGATCGATAACAGCAATCTCAGTCAAATACCAGCTCAAGCTGGTGCTTTTGCTGGGAAGGGTGATTATGACTGGCAGCCTTTGATCGACTGGGGCTATATGACAGCTCCTCAAGCCGTAAGTTCCGGCGCTGCCTCTTCGATATTTCCTCAAGCTAACGAGTTATAGGGTGCAAATAATGCTTCGATTCATTATGCTCGTGGTAAAGGACTTGGTGGTTGCTCATCTAGGAACTATAGTACGCAC